TTAAAAGTATGTATTATGTGCCTTATAAAAGCCTCTAAATATTCTGCTTGTTCCATTTATCTAAGGAAGGGAAGGTGATATTATCCCCATTTTAGAGACAAAGAAGCCAAGCCTACCTTGCCCAAAATCTTATGGTTTTTAGTTTCCCATGTATGAGAGTTAGTGCTTGCAATGATCCTTTTCTCATCATTCTAAAAAGATGAACAAAACCGAATTACTTATATTTTTATTCTTCTTGTCCATTGCAGATATGGGGAAAGGAAAAATAACCTTACTCTCAAAAAATCATTTTAAAATCATAAATCTCTTTATTAATTTTCAAGTGTTTGGATGCTAAAAGAAGATTATTTGAAGACTGCTTTTGGAATCAATTAGCATGGATCTCAGCAGTGACTACCATTTCCTCAATCAGATTTTGTGGAGAAGGGTAAAACTCACATTGGTTTGTGGCATCTTCGAGGGTGTGCTCCAGCATGTGGACCCTAACAAGATTGTTGTCCTAAAAAAAGGTCTCATTCTATTTCTTATGATCTTCTGCCTTTTAAGAGATTAATAACTGAATTTAAGTGATGGCTTTGGGCTCCATTATTAGCAACTGGGAGGGTGGCATTATCCCTGTTTTGGAGAAGGGGTGGGAGGAAGGTTAGAATGCCATTTTCAGAACATTTCTAACAGAACAATGTGACTACATATGCTGGTTAGTCCCCACTTCTATACTTTTGACGTGATAGCAGAATTTCAATATAGAGAGTTCTTTTTTTTCCTCTCTTTTTTTTCTCCCAGAGCAGTGAGATAGTGAGAGAGTTTTTAATTGAGTACTTCTTTTAATTTCTGTCCATATGCATCTTGAAATTAAAAATAACCACTGTATTAGTTAGAATTGCTTTTGACTTCAACAGACAAATTCACAAAGACAGTAAGGAGTTGATTTTTCTCATGCAAAAAGAATTCCCTAAGTAGGCTGCTGAGGAATAGTGCGGTGGCTGAAAGACACTACCAGGGACCAGGTGCCTTGTGCTGCTGCTCTGCCACCTCTGTGATCCTCTGTCATGCTGATGGTCCCAAGGTAGCCTCTACATCTCCCAGCTTCAATTCTGGTTTATCTATCGTAAAGGGTACAAATCAGGAGCAGCTACATGGGAGAGATGCATAGGGCAAACTCTGGGGGAGGGGACACAGAACTTCCGTACCCTCTCTGGGTGCATCACCCTCCCAGCGCTTCCATGTGTACCAGCCCCAAAGCTTCAATATATAGAGTTTTTATTCAGCTGAAGTACTGATTTGCTAGTGTAGTTGTTTTCCTGGCATGATAAATTTCAAGTTCACAATTAAAACATGTATAAATGGCATTTGAGATATTGCTGCTATTGTTAAGCCATATTTTGAGTTAAAGTAGGCTTTTGTGAGCTAGGATGGGACTATAACAGGTTTTTACAACATTAATTTATTCAGTAATCATTTATTGATTGTTTTATATACCAGGTACTGTGCTTGGTACTAGGGATACATGTAGGAATAACATGGTCCCTGTCCTCAAAAAACTTAGTCCAGTAAGGAGACAAATAAGTAGACAAGTGATATCCTCTCTGATAGAGGAGAAATGCACAAGATCCTGTGGAAACACAAAGGCTCAGCTAATTTAGATCTGGGAGTGCTTGGATTAGGACAGTGGAGAAGTCTCCTAAAGGAGAAATTGATGATGGAGCTGCATCTGGGTGAATAGGAGTTAACGATGAGAAAAGAGAAGGTCGTATTAAGCCAGTGGTTCTCAAACTTTGTTGTGTATCAGAATCACTTGGAAGACTTGTTAAAACACAGATTTCTGGGCCCTGCTCCCAGAATTGCTGATTCTTAAGGTCCAGAATTTGCATTTTTAACAAGTTAATAGAAATACTGTGCTTTGGAGCGACGCTTTTTTTTCTTCTTCTTTTTTTTTTAAATTGATTGGAGTCACACTTTGAGAGAACCATTGTTTAAAGCAGAAGTAGCAGCATGTACAAATACATAGAGACACAAAAACCTGGTGCATTCAGAAAAACTAAGTAAATTTCAGTATAAGGATATGATGAGAGATAAGACTGAAGAAGTAGGCTTGGAACAGATCAGAAGGATTTACATATCAAGCAGGAGTTGGATTGTTGTCCTTGATAATATTTTAGAGCATGTAGCATGACATGAAGTAGTGTGTGGACTTTAGAAGTAGTCAGATGCCTTCAATTTCTTTCTGGAGTTATTAGGTGGAATAAAAATAAATAGAAATATAATTAATAGGTAGTCCTGAGCCCCAGAGGCCTTAGAATATTCTCAGGAGAATATTAAAATCAGTGTCCTACTGCTGCCCTGTTTAGTTTCTCTTGGACCATAATGGGGTTTACTTTGTTCTTTACACTACTTGTTTCAAGGCTGTAGCTTTGTAATTTATTATTGACTCTTCATTTCTTAGGGAAAATAATTTGGGGATTTTTATAAAACTCAGATTTGGGCAATTTTGAGAGTAAGAATGTTTTCTTATTGTTTTAGGAAAATATATATATTTTTATTGTTAAGACCAAATATTTAATTGTTTAAGCAAAATTTCCACATGTAGGTGTGCCAAAAAAAAAGTGTTTAAGCTTTTGGCTATTCTACTTATTGGTTATGTGATTTAAGAAAGTAACTTAACCTTCTGAATTTCAGTTTTCTTATGTATAAAATGCAATAACAGTGCCCCATTTTTAAAGATGAAGCATAAAATTAT